TATAGATTTCTCAGTAGATAAGGTGATCAGGCACTCCCATTTCTTTAAGAACCTGCCATAGTTCGTTGTGATCCACACAATCAAAGTCTTTTGCGTAGTCAATGAAGCAGAAGTAGATGTTTTTCTGGAACTCTCTGGCTTTCTACATAATCCAGCGCATGTTAGCAATTTGGTCTCTAGTTCCTCTGCCCCTTTGAAATCCAGCTTGTACTTCTGGAAGTTCTCGGTCTACATACTGCTGAAGCCTACCTTGTAGGATTTTGAGCATAACCTTACTAGCATGTGAAATGAGTGCTTGGTGCTAATGTGTCTTAAATTTCATTTCTCAAGATACTTGAGAAATAGAGTTCACTTTCGCTTCTAGGAAGCAGAGACATATTTGTTGTATAATGTATAGGAGTCAATGGGACTCTGAATATTAGAAATTATTATTACAGATATTAAGAACTAGCAAATTTGGATTCACATATACTTAAAATTATCTGAACATGGTATTATTCAGTGAATTCTAAATATTTCTGAGTCTGAATGCACATGCCTAATAATAAGGCAATTTCTTCAACAATAACTCAATGAATTAATTGAAATAGTACTTTGAAGTTCATTAGGCAATTTGCATAGAGCGATTTCCTAGTAAATTAACAATGTGAAAACTGACTCCTTTATGTACCAGTGAGAGAATGATAATGTATTTTGAAAGAAAGGATTTAAAATGTTGTGGAAATGTAAGACTCTCTTACACATGGGGGAGCCAAAGTACTCTTCTGACTAATGGAGAGAGTGACAATATTTTAGATTGTAGTTTGTTTAGTGATGTTGTGAGAACTGAAAATGTGGAGGGGAAATATTTTTCCTATATATTATATAGGATAATATTTTTCCTGTATATTAAGAATGACAATTTAAAAAATCTGAAGGAAGCAAAATGAATCCTGCATATACATGCAATCTAAGTTCATTTGAATTTACAAGCATTGCACACTTAATTAACTATAGTAGCCATGAACACAAACTTGTGCACCATGTGTAATGTTCCTTCAGAACAGAGAATGAATTGTTATACACTGTGCTATCAGCAAACTACTGCCTGAAATAACGTTACCTAATACTAAGGTGGACGGGGCACTGATGTTCTGCTGAAGAGTACAAAGGTTGATCTAGTAGCAGAAATACTTTTTCAAAACAACGTTCTAGTATAAACAGTATATATTTGGACATCATTGAAGAGATACTGATACCTTGTTGGGGAGCAGAAAAATTAGTCTAGCAGCAAAATACTCCCTTAGTAGAAATCAATCTCTCTCCCCCACACACACACACAGAAAGAGAGAGAGAGAGAAGACTTCACTGATTTCCTTAAATATAAAAAATAAGGTGCTTCTACCATACATAAGAAAGTGATACCAATAGTCCACGACACTTCAGTTACTAAATACCTCTATAAAGATATGACATGTATTCTCCCATGTCCTATACAGAGTTGTATGGTTCAAGATGTTCATCTTTGAGGGAAACAAGTTATCATTACAAGGCCAGAGTTAAAGGTATCAATACCTGAAAAAGACTATTGTTTGAAGGTTTGCAGGCTGTTTATTCTAACTCTCCACACCGCCATTGGCAGAACTGCAGTAGTAGTCAAACTGTACTCAATATTTAGTAGCAGTAAATAACTTTGTTTTTGTTAAACAGCTGTAGCTGACAGCTTCAAAATATTACATAATAAATCAGTTTCCATGATGTCCCTTATACAGTAGTTTATCTCATTACAGTGGGGTCTCGACTTACGAACTTAATCCGTATTGGAAGGCAGTTCTCAGGTCGAAAAGTTCTTAAGTCGAATCTGCATTTCCCATAGGAATGCACTGAAAACCATTTAATCCGTATCTGCTCTTTTCGTCCATAGAAACTAATGGGAAGCTGCTATTCCGCCTTCTGCCACTAGAGGGGGATATTTTTTCTTTTTTTCTTTTAACCTAAGATGACTTAGCTTTTAAAAAAAGGGAAAAAAGAGTTCGTAACTCGAATCTAAGTTCGTAAGTCGAGTCCATATATTCCTATGAGAGCAATTCGTAAGTCGAAACGTTTGTATGTTGAGCCGTTCGTAAGTCGAGACCCCACTGTATTATATATTGAAAGCAGAGGTAGTAGATTGTTTTGTGAATGTCACTCAACAATCTGGACAAACCAACTGAACCATCTGATCCAATTTAATGAACTAACTATTGGACATACAGTAGTTTGCTGAAAAAGGCTATCATGAATTCTTGGAAGGTATATAAGAGTTAAGAATGGCAATAGTTCTCCCCCATGAAAAATGGCCATAAACTTTATATTTATATTAAAAAATGACCATGAGCCTGCTGCAACCTGGCATGTGCCTAATTTCACAATCCATGAGAGATTCGTATGCGTGAATAAAGGAGATTCTGCTGGAAAAGATGAATGCTTACACAATTGTCCTTACACGTTGCCCATGCTGCTTTGTCTTAGAGAATAAAGCAACTTGACTAGAACAAAGTTTGCACTGATATCTGTAAGTGCTGGTTTTAATATATATTGCAATGTACACTATTTTTTCTTTGAGCCGTTCTTAATATATTCAAATATATTGATATCTTTATCCATCAGGTGTTTTTGCTGAATTCTTGAATGAAATTTCTGGATGTTATACACACAAAGAGAATTTGGGTTTCCTTCTTCATGATGTTTTCCTGTATGGTATCGCTCTGGACATGTATAACCCCTATAAGAATCTTGCTAATTTGATAGACTTGATCTGGACTTGGAGCTTCTTGGTTGTTTTCACCACTCTTAGATGAAATCCTTTTGTTGTTAGAACATGGCAAATTTCTCCCTTGTGCTGCTTGAGAGTATGTCTTATGGTTGTAATATTGTCAAGGGTATTTACTGGATAATGCCACTGACACCAATGGCAGGTACATGAAGCTGATATGCATGCAGAACTCTCATACATTTCAGCTGTACTTGCAACTCTGCTTGCATGGCATTTCTCTGAACATTGTTGTAGTTATGTGTTGTCAAGTCTTCTCCAACTTATGGTGACCTTATGAATGAATTACCTCCAAAATGTCCTGTCCCCAATAGCCTTTGTAAACTCAAGGCTGTAGCTTCCTCTATGGACTCAATCCATCTTGCATTTGGTCTTATTCTTCTCCTGCTGTCTTCAGCTTCGCTTGCATTAATGTCCCTTCCTGCAAGTCTCATTTTGTCACTAAACATTCATAAATATATCATAAATTTTCTGATAAATGGATTTAAAGCTGCAATGCAAACTTAATATTAAGGCATGAAAATCATACAGTAGCCAAGAATTGAATGCCCAGTTTCATATTTGAGTCCTTAGAATGAAAGGCTTCCCTAACTACTACAAAGACTTCATTTTTAGATGTGTCCCTTCAGTTCAGCAGAATTTACATATGCACTCATTGAATCTTTGGCTCATTTGTTTCACTATCAGATGATACACACAGGTAACGTAGCTGCCAGGAGCAGAACCATTCATGTTTTCTAGGGTTGTGTTATAACTTGGCCTTTCTGGAAAGATGTTTTAGAATGAATAACACTCTTAATATGTCACCAAATTCACACAACTCTATGTCCACTGTTTAGTTACCTCACACAGAGCATGGTCCCCAAATGCTATCAAAAGCTATTTGATTCATATTACAGTGGTGGTAGTCAACGTGACCTGCAAAGCAGTGAGTGAGAGATCTTAAACTTTAGGCAGTTGAAGAGAACATAGTGTACAGTATGTTAAGGAAGATGAAAGATAGAGATGTATAAGGATATTTGTGATAACTGCCTGGATGTCTTTGGTGCTTGATTGTAGCTTTCCCCATCTTCTAGCAACACATCCTCGCATTTGAATTTATTTTGCTTTCCTCTCTTTTCATGGAATATAAAGATTATAGGGATTATCTACATTATAGGGGTTGAGCTGAGGCAAATGGAAAATGGTATGGAGGGATAAATTCTGATAGTTGTTTAATTAGTTGTATATTGCTATGCGGTGTTCATTGCTTTGTATTGCTGTAGTTTTTTAAAACAGCAAGGCAGTTTGACAGTGAGAAGTGCTACTTATAAAACTCTTAATGTCCTCTTCATTAAAGTGAATATTCTGTATTAGAAATGTTTCTAAGAATTTTCTGCAGTTTGAGAATGGAGTTCTCAGTGAGTTTGAGAGTTCAACTAATTCGATCTTCATTTTTATCCATTTCCCAAATGACTGAGATTTAGTAAAGAAATGTATTAACAGCTGTAGTGAATGTTATCAAGATTCTCTAATTCACCCTTTTAACTATATGTTTAATTTATCTCACCAACAGGAGTCAAAGCAGCTGAAATAAAATATTATATATACACTTAATTAAAAGCATAAAAATTGGGCATAATTTAAAAGTGTATCAGTAAAAGAATGCTGTTTCTATCCAATGAAAAACCTCTTAACTTAAAAAACAAACAAAAACCTTGTGGGTAACACAGCAGCCCATTATATACAAGGTTTATAACATTTCACTTTGGACAGTGTGTGTGTATGTATGTGTGAAGAAGTTAACCGAAATAACTCCACTTAATGTTTGAGAGAGCGATGTAATGAAATCTGTTTGCTGTGCTAGCTGTCTCCAGATTGGGCTGTAATTACACCACAGAAGGAAGAAAGGTAGCTGAGTCTCAATCTGGATCATTTATGTAAACTCAGCCTTCTTGTCAACGAAGTTCTCAGATTACAAGCATGCAAACCACAAAAATCATCTCCTATGAACAAAACAGAGACAGTGTCAGATTGCAGGCTTCTGATATACCTTGTATTCTCTCTGTAATTGGACTTTAACATTTGACACAGTAAGGTTAAAAAACTTCTCATGTAATATACATCTATTCAGGGAATGAAATCCTGTACTAACAAGGGGTGAATAAGTGGAGGTGAAGAGAAAAGAATAGCTACTCTTAATTCTTTATGGCAGAGAATACATGCACACTTTTACTAAAAAACATTTATTTGGCAAGAACAAAAACAATGTCCAGTAAATCTTTTTTTAAAAGTACTTTTTTGTTGAAAGAAATTGCATGATATATAAAAGGGAACAAGTAACTCTCCTGGAGGTTTAAAACGTCATTCTGTGAATCAAAGACTTGACAAACAACACATTCAAAATTATCCTTTTATGCAGAACCATATTAATATCATAAAGCTCTTACCATACCCGATGTGCTCCCTCAGCAATTCTTTCAAACACTCAACACATTAGGTATAGGGTAATTTTATATTTAAATACACAGAGAAACAGTATGAGGAGATATAGCTGCCTGTAAGCAGATAAAAGATTCCCTCCTCTTTCTCCCCCACCCCAATTCATCGAGTTGCCCTTCATGTTGATAAATTGGTACATTAATTCTGGTTTTAAACAGCCATCTCTCTGGCAGATTTAGAGAGCATTCCTCCCAACACCTGCAGCTTCACGCCCCCCTCTGCCTTCTTTAGTGCAGGAAAACCACAGGCCACCACACTGGCGCCATCCCTGGCTATGTCCAATCAATAAGGACTTATTTCCTGTCCATTTGCTGAGGTCACAGAAGCGAGTCTCATTAATTATTTCTACCGGTGCAGCCTCAAGTGTGCTTCTGGCATGACAAGTGAAAACTGTTTGACCTTTTTTCCCTAATTTTGTTTGCAGCAGTTCCGAAGAATATACGTGTTCATTTGGGAATGTGGTGAGTGGAACAGAAACATTAAGGGGGGAAAAATCCGTTGTCACATTCAGATTCTTAACAACAGCAAATTTTGACTGTCATGACTATTATCTGTTCCACTCATTTCTGCAAATGGACAATAGTTTCTTTTTCCAGTTGTACATCATGGAAATCTTGTCACAGCATAAACAATGTTCTCCAGTGCAGATCTGGCCTCTGAGGGAGGGAAGCACTCCAGAGCCTCCAGTGCTCTGTTCCCATGGAAACGACATAGGTCAATAGCTGAAGTCACACCTTTGCCAGCCTTGATTGCATCTTGCAACTGTGAGAAAACACATGCACAATATCATCAGTTTTGACAGAAATCACTATAACCAGAAAGCTAGAAAACACAGTGATTCTGTATTTTCATGAACTGGGTTTCAAAGATTAACTGAATTGCCAAAAATAAAATCACATTAGGTTTCATAATGAAATAGTTCCAATATATTTAAATGAGTCTATCACTTAGTGATAATTCAGGATACTAACCCACTTAAAATTGAACATAATTTTAGCAGAAGGCTTTCAGCTATTCATGTGCGTCATGCTTTTATGTTAGAAATGAAACCAATAAATAATAGTGTACTTAATTTGTGAACATATATTTTGAAGAAAAATTCAATATATGGAAATAGATTAATATGCACATTCACTTTCCCTGTTGTATACATTATAGCAATATAAACTGCTCTATTTATACACTGTGTCTATGAATCCGAAATAGAATTTTAAAAGAGGTTTGCCATGATTGTTTGTAATCTTCTTTTCTCCAAAGTACCATTCTCACTGGTCTCTGACCTTAATGACATTAACCAGGAGGCAAAGATTTTAGCTAATGGGAATGATCAACCAAACTACTTACTATACAATCTTCATTTAGTGAGGAATCCCAAGAATTTCCAGGTGAGTCTACTCTAGATCAAGAAGCATTGTAGGGCTGCATTTCTAGTAGGCTATGCTCACTGGTACACTTTTGCCCTCTAGAACTGTATAATACTTTAAAAAGTGAAGAAATACAAGAGAAATAAAGAAAACAAAATGAAATACAACCTATCTGCTATAAAAGGATAGTCAGACTTGTACCCACCATATGTTTTGGATAATAATAACCATCTCTCCTGCCCAGTCATAGCCAACAGTCAGAGATTTGGGGAGTTATGTAAAACATCTGGTTGATAATAAGTTCCCTGCAAACAGACATTTACAAGTCCCACAGGAAAAACCTAGGCGGATGTTTAACTATCTAACTAAAGTAAGTGGAATTTGAAATTTTAATTTTGCTTGGATTGTACCCTACACAAACTCTCTGACTGTTCCATAAGCAAGAGGATTGCATACCTTCACCATCTTGCTGTTATGTAACAGGTTGTTTCTTTGTTTGGAAAGGTTTAATGGAAACAATAATTACCTACTATATTTTATCATTCTCCCCTTTTCTACTTAAAATGATGTACATATTTACTGTCCTTATATTATCTCACATCAACACTCATATTTCAGGTTCAGAGGATGAACAATGACTAACCAAAGCTGAAGTTCATAGTTTCATAAGGATCTAATAACAGGTTGTTTCTTTGTTTGGAAAGGTTTAATGGAAACAATAATTACCTACTATATTTTATCATTCTCCCCTTTTCTACTTAAAATGATGTACATATTTACTGTCCTTATATTATCTCACATCAACACTCATATTTCAGGTTCAGAGGATGAACAATGACTAACCAAAGCTGAAGTTCATAGTTTCATAAGGATCTAAACTTGTTTTTTATTTAAATA